TTCTTTCTTTCTTTCTTTCTTTCTTTCTTTCTTTCCTCTATCATTCCCCCCTCTGAAGAGGTAACCCTAAAATCTTTTAGGGATTAGATTAAGAGCTCCCAAATACTTTTGACATTTTTGGCCTTTGGAACAGGGTATGTTGCTAAGAGGCCCAAGGACAGTTTGACTTTTAGCCAAGAAACTGGCTACTTTTCTTTGTAGTCTTTTTTTTAAAAAAAATATTTTATTATTTTTATGTGTATAGGTATATTCCCTGCATGTAGGTAAGTGCACCTGTGTCGTGCAATGCCCACAGAGGTCAGAAGAGACTGTTGGATCCCCTGGAACTGGAGTTAACAGACAGTTGTTAGCTGCCATGTGGGTGCTGGAGAGATGGCTCAATGGGGTCTTTTTACCCTAAATGCCTAGCCAATTCCTACCTCCTATTCTTGTCACACTATCCATCCTCTGAAGAGGTTACCCAAATTGTTGATAGGGAATCTGGGATGCAGATTGCTCTGGCTTCTTCCATGCTGAACAGGGATGCAGGGTGAGGCAATTGGAGTGCCCCTTCAGCGGATCTATCTAAAAGACTCCCACATTGCATAACTCATCACCACGTGGGGGCAGGCTCTTCTGACGCCTAGGGGCATTCCATGCACAGGCATATTCACACACAGACACAAAACATACATGTAAAAGACTCATCAATTAAAATTTTTAACTAAATAAAAGTGGAAGATTCTCTGACTTTTGCTTACGCTATTCTTGAGATCTACTTCCCAAAGATGAGACATGGGTAACTGCCATTGTAAGGGAAAGAGTATTTAACTTTCCAGAGATCTTGCCAACTGACCTAAGAAACAGATGTGCCAATATGACAGTGGTGGTTGGTCTGATCCCCCAACACCTAAAACCCCACATAAAATCTGCTGTTACTTTTTTCTTCTACTCTTTATTCTCCATACGGGGCTTCAAAGCTCTTCTCTTCCTGCTCGTCCAAATGTATATTTGAAAGGAACTCAGTGACTGAGGTGTTTTTGTGAGACGATGAGATTAACACATTAACATGTGAGGCCATCAAAAACTAAAGGATAGCTAGGTGTGTTGGCACACACCTTCATTTCCAGCAGTTGGGAGGCAGAGGCAGACAGATCTCTGAGTTTTGGGACCAGCCTGGTCTACATAGAGTTCCAGACCAGCAGAGGCTACCTAGTGAGACCCTGCTCCTTCCCAATAAATAAAAAAGGTAATTATCAAAGCAAGCAAGCAGTGTTCTCTTTTCCTCTCCATTTTGCTTTGTTTTCCCTTTCACGTCTTTTCATTTTGCTGCATCAATAAATAAATCAGTGCTAAAGCTGTCAGGAACTCATAAATGCCCAATACTATTAAGAGCTGTAACAGATTTTAATAAAAATCTAATTCTCCCAGATCTTTTTTCTTGCTCAGCAGTTAAGCACTGGCTGCTCTTGGCAGAAGTTCTGGGTTTGGTTCCTAGCATGAAATGGCAGCTAACAACTACCTGTAAATCAGTCCCAGGGGGATATGACACCCTCATCTGGCCTCCATGGGCACTGCACAGAGACAATCACATACTTGTAGGCAAAACACTCACACACATAAAAATTTTTTTTAAATGTACTCAGGCTAGAACTTAGGGACTGATGTATGCTAGGCCAGCACTCTATTAGTGAGGCGACCTCCCAAGTCCCTTACCAAGGTCTTTATCATCTTTTTATTAGGATCTTGCTATGTTGCCCAGGCTGGCCTTGAACTTGCAATTCTGCCTCAGCTTCCACGGACTAGGAATTATAGACACACACCATTATCAGCATTACAAAGGCTAAAAACAAAACAATCTATAGAGACAAGTGGAGGTTAAGAAGCCAACTGGGCTTAAAAGAGAAAGCATAAACCAACTCTTAAAAGACATGTCAGGAAGATTTCAATTAATTTGCAAGCCCAAACACAAATCTAAAATATAAAGGGCACAAATTACATGTAATTAATTTCATGAAACACCTTTAAAAACAATCTGCAAAGTAAACCTCTAACAGAATATTCCCATAATTAAAAACTGGAGAAGTAGATAAATTCAGAGCCACAAAAGTATCTTTTCCTTAAAAGTCAAGGGTAGAGGTGTTCGCCTGTAATCCAGCATTTAAGGGGCAGAGGTAGGAGAACCAGGAGTACTCCACTCATTAGTATAGCCTGGGGTATACTTTATAACCTTATCCCAGATTTTTTTTTAGAAAAATACAAAGCCACCAGAGGCTGTAATCAGACCAAGTACCTGATCTGGCAAATAAAGAAACAAACAAAAAAAAAACTCTTACCAACCCATCATGATCCAAATTTTATATTCCTTTTTATGAGGTAGGTAAAAGTCTCCCTTCAGAATGACATTTTTAGCAGTTCCAGATACTCTTTTCTTTGAATTCCTCTCTCCAAAGAACCATACCCCTCTTCTCATTTTTAAACACTGCCCAAACTATCTGGATCTCAAATTATTGCTAGGTAATTCTTACTTACATTCTCCTTTTACCCTCCTCCCTCCTTCCTTCTTTTGTAACCACATGCCAAGTTGGTCTCTTCCCTTTTGTGTTTTGTTGTATACTGCTGGCCAACAGTTCATTTACAGTAATGAAGAATGGCATTCAGAACATATACTTCTTATGAGGGACTATATGGTCATCAATGGTCTTTACTCACCTGTGAACCCTATGTGCCACACTGCAGACTGGCCCCACTGGTATAAAGGTTTGCAAATCTGTTATGGAGCTAACCAAACACTTTTTGATTGGATGTGAGGCCAGCTCTACTGTAGAAATTCAAATTTGGTATTATAAATTTGGTTAAAAGTCTGCAGCTGGGGAAGTTATAGGCCCTAGTAGGGAAGCTTCTGCTGTTATTTTACTAACTGCAGATGATGTGCCTATTAAATATCTTTCTAAATATTTCTGTTTATGTCCATATGGATCAGCAGTGGCTAAGATTACTGTAGATACTCATAACTGGTCAAAGTCCTGAAAATAACAGATGTTGAAAGATGAGCCCTAAATGGGACTTCTGTATCATCCCTTTCCAATGTTCAGGGAACATCCTGGAAGAGGGAGTGGAAAGAGCTAGAGGGAGGGGTGGAGTATTGTGGGTCGCTTTCTTCTGGGTGGGCATGACACAGCCACTGCACTCTTGAACTCTCAACAGCTGTGATTATCAGCCT